TATAGGATCCGAACCCGCAGCGGGAGCACTGCTGCGCTCCCAGCGCCGCACTCTCCCAAGTTCGCAACGGGCTCGGCCCAGCCTTTGGGTCTTTGCTGGGTTTTTTTAGGTGCTGACCCTGGAATTTGTGTCTTGGGTGTGCTGTGTGAGCCCGGACCTTGCCACATAGTAACTGAATTCACAATTTACACAGACACTTGACTTTGAGTGACATGGGCATGGTACCTTCCCTCACGCTTACCTGTCTGGTGCGGCTGCAGTGGGATGGAGCCCAGGTACCCAGCAGCGTCAGAGTGGGGGAGGGGCCTCCAGACCCCTGAGGCCTTCTTTGTCTGATGCAGCTGCTGAAAATGGCCTTTGACGAGGAAGTGGGGTCCGACAGTGCCGAGCTCTTCCGTAAGCAGCTGCACAAGCTGCGGTACCCACCAGATGTCAGGGGTACCTTTGCGTTCACCTTGGGGTCTGCCCACATATCTGGCCAGCAGCCCCGGGCCACCAAGGACAAAGGTTCTTCTCTCAGGTATGGGGCACCAGCTGTGTGCCTGCCTCAGCCCTCCCAGACCCCTGAGCCTTCGTCCCTGTGTCTCTTCCTCTCACTTCTGCTGATCCTCTCTGCCCCAGAACCCTGTCCCGGAACCTGGTGAAGAACGCCAAGAAGACCATCGGGCGTCAGTACATCACTCGGAAGAAGTACAACCCCCCCAGCTGGGAGCATCGGGGCCAGCCGCCCACTGAGGACCAGGAGGATGAGATCTCAGGTAGGGCAGCTGAGGGGCAGTCCTGGGTGGTCTCTGGATGATGACTCCCCCCTGTGGAGGACCAGGGGTGGGCTGGATGGTCTCTGGGTGACGACCCCACGTGCCCGGCCGTTGTAGTGTCGGAGGAGCTGGAGCCCAGCACGCTGACCCCATCCTCAGCCCTGAAGCCCTCGGACCGCATGACCATGAGCAGTCTGGTGGAGAGGGCGTGTTGCCGTGACTACCAGCGGCTTGGCCTGGGCACCCTGAGCAGCAGCCTGAGCCGGGCCAAGTCTGAGCCCTTTCGTATCTCCCCAGTGAACCGCATGTATGCCATCTGCCGCAGGTGAGGGCCACAGCACATGCCAGAGAGGACGTGGCCAGGGATGGCTGGTGTGGCGGGAAGGTGCTTGGACACCCTGCCTGCTGAGGGCCTGGCCAGACAAGGGATGTGGAGCAGGAGGGAAGAAGGTTGGGCTGCAGGGCTTGTCGGGGTCAGCTGGCTGGGTACAGGCCACCTGGCTTGGGTCCCGGGAAGCCATGAGTTCTCTCCCCTTTTGCCCCCACCATGTTTTGGCTCCTCCGCTCACTGCTCTGCGTGGGAGCCCCCAGGCGGGCATGGGGTCGGGGCCTTTCAGCTGCCCTCATACCTTCGCTTCCCCGCAGCTACCCAGGGCTGCTGATCGTTCCCCAGAGTGTCCAGGACAATGCCCTGCAGCGTGTGTCCCGCTGCTACCGCCAGAACCGCTTCCCTGTGGTCTGCTGGCGCAGTGGGCGCTCCAAGGCTGTGCTGCTGCGCTCTGGGGGTCTGCACAGCAAGGGCATGGTCAGCCTCTTCAAGGCCCAGAATGCACCTTCTCCAGGTATCCTCCCTCGTTCCTCCCTTCCCACCCGCCCTGCCCCAGCTCTGCTCCAGCTCCACCTCCTCTCCAGGCCAGTCCCAGGCGGACTCCAGCAGCTTGGAGCAAGAGAAGTACCTGCAGGCAGTGGTCAGCTCCATGCCCCGCTACGCAGACGCGTCGGGACGCAACACACTCAGCGGCTTCTCCTCAGCCCACATGGGTGGTCACGGTGAGGGGGCTGCGGGGTGGGAGGAGGAACAAGGAGGACTTCCGAGGGTAGCTGTGGTGCCATTTGCGGCAGGTGGGCCAGCAAGGGGCAGAAGTGGCCCTGGTCGGGGATGTTTGGGTGTGGGATAAGGAAAGGGTCCCTCCAAGCACCCGGCAGAGGCGGGATGTCCGCTTAGACCAGGTAAGTGTCCTGAGGCCTTCCCTGCTCTGACCACATCCACATCCATCCACT